AATTAGTAAAAAAAAAAAAAAAAAAAATGAAAAGAAAAAGAAAAACACAATCAGAAAACAAAGAGCATTTCCTCGAGAGTGTTGTATGGTAGAGGTACCTTATCAGTCTCAACAAGACGACCAGATTTCGACAATAACCTGAAAATCCTGTAGGCCTCCTTTCCATGTCTTCTCATTACCACTGACTCCACCTAAATTAAAATCAAATATATAATACAGCAATATATAATTCCAAAACACAACAGCTCGGGGTGAAGGAAAATTACGAACTTCTTCATTTTGAGCCATTTCAACGAATCTCCTTATATCTGCAGAAATAGAGAAGGGTAAACCGGCAAGCATCAGTATCCAGGTTTAGAAACAATCACCAAGTTTATAATATCATCAGAAAGCTCCACTGAAATGCAGAAAGAATAGAATACAGATACCGATGCTAAAGGTATCCTCTAGCCCGGCTGAGACGATTTCACATCCAAGCTGCTCAAGTGAAACTTTGATACGCTCAAGGTCCATCCCAAGACCACCCTCTTTCTTAATCACCTCAGGATATATCTCATTTAGGGATAGGTAAGCTGAAATTACAAGTCAGCAATGATAGGCCATATAGAGTTCACTGGTAATAATAAGGGGGGATGGGTTATTCCAAATGTCAAAAATTTCTATTCAAGCATGTAAAGAAGGGATTATTACCAGTGTTCTCAGTTCTTTGTCCACTCTCCGACCGTCCATTTAAATCCAGAACGGCACCCAACACAATACCAGCTTCGTCATTAATCTTTGTTTTCACATATGAAACGCAAGCCTGCAGCAGATCGTAAATAGATAAAAATATCAAATCAAGAATGTTGAAAATGTAGCTAAGGCATGGTCAAAGGTGTACTGAAGTAACAGCGAAAAAATACCTTTTTTCTCATATGGCGCATAAATTCCTCGAAATTAACCCGCCAAAGGACTTCCTTCTTTTCATCATCGGGATCCAAGACGTCCTCATCTGAATTTAAAGCTCGCTTGCGCTACTCAATTTAAGAAACAAGTTGGGAAACCTCAATAAAACTTAAAACATCACATAAGGGGAAATTTCACAGGGTAAACTAGCGTCCTAACCTTTTCCCCAACTGACACGCTCTTACCATTCTCCTCATCATTTTTCTCCAGGTTTTCATCCATTTCCATCAAAAACCTCATCGACTCCAGTGGAGCAGCAGCCTCAATAGCACGCTGCTCCTTCGGGGGTATTCGATTTAGCTGTCATAGTGTGAAGCAACATTATTGTTACTCTCGAGTCAATTGTTACATCACGGACTCGTCCAAATATATTGTAATGATCACATAAAATATGCCAGATTAGCTATTACTGATAAATTATATGGTGAAGTGAAAACAAAGAATTGGATCCAAAACATAAAAACACGGAGCAATCTTGGGTATTAGGGAATTGTGTTTTTTCACCCAACAGCTAAAAAAATCACTATCCACTCATCCCACGTTTTCTCTTCTTCTCTCCTCAATTTCTCAATGCAACTTTTATAAAATTTTCCATTCATCTACTCACACATTTATAACTACCAACAATATTTTACTATTTCACTATCAGTGTTATCAAATGGCGGCCATGGCAGTATGGCGTCGCACTCTAAGTACTCCCATTCTTTCCCTCTAGACATCAATTTCTTTTTTTTTAAAAAAAAAATTACACGTTAGATTTTCAGTTTATGGTCCTCTATATTTTGGAACAAATAGATAATAAAAGCCAATATCACTAAATGATCATCATAGTACTAATAAACAAGAAAAGATTCCATTTCTTCAGATCATTGTCAAAGCAACTACCTTGGCTAACTTTGAACCCCTTTTCTTTGCAGCAGATTCATCTTCAAGCGGTGCGAGAAATGGATCAGGAGCAGGACAACGTTCAACAAACCGGGCATTCAAAAGTCTATTGAAGGTCTCACGAAGAGCATCAATATCCAAACTACCTACACCTGGAGTCAAGAATTTGCAAATGCATATCATGGTATTAAAATCTCAATGAGCTTACAGATTATGGACAACTATCACTATCCATAACAATTACTTTTTCATTTGAGACATTGTCGGCCTTGTGTTCATTAACCTGATTCCAATTACCCACCTCTTAACAAGTTACCTACCATTGAACAATTCTGTAGATGCCACACTAAGCATATAACATAGCAAGATTTTAGGTCCATAATTGGTGTTGTGTAATTGAACCCAAAACATCAGTGTTGTGAAAAAATTAACAAACATATCCAACAACAACAACAACAACATACCCAGTATATTCCCAACAGGTTGGGGTCTGGGGGGTCAGTTGTACGCAGACCTTACCCTTGTAATTATACAAGGAGGCTGTTTCCGTAGCGACCCAAGGTGCATTGCGCCGTTTGATATTTTTTTTTTTTTTCTAGAAACTTCACTAATAGAAGAAGCACTAGAATTTAATTAAGAAACATATCCATGGATCTTTAATTGAAGTTCTGACACAATAATGCCCTAACCTCCATCAGCTAATTTAATTAAGAAGTGCGTGTAAAGTGTATAATAGTCTATGCTAATAAACAATGCATCAGAAGGCTAATTTTAAAATCTATACAGAAATGTTGTTGCCTAATTAGTCATCTTGAAGACATGAGGCGAACACAAGCTATAAAAGAGATGCCTCCATATTTCCATTGTGCACCCACCTTAACGGAAAGTTTTGTAAGCAGTAAAACAAACAGTCAATTTAACAGTAGTACCTGTTGTCTCTTCCTTCCTCTCAATAATTTGTTTAAAAGAAAGCCTGCCGTGTTGAATCAGCCCTTGAAATATTCCCAAACACTGTATAAAGATTAAAAAAATTCATTTCATAATGCCTAGTGGTCAAATTTAAGAATAAACTTCACAAGTGTATGCAAAGAGGGATCCTTACATCTTCGCCAAGCTCATCTGATACAATTTGCAAAAACTTTGGAGCCCGTGATTTATGCATGACATTGTTGAACAATGCCATATACTGGGTAATAACTTTTGGTGGCTCACCAAAAACATCTGCAAAGCCACAAAAACAATCGCGTAGAAGTAGAATCAGTAGTATAGTATGTTTCATTTACATGCCATTCGTGGATACATACAATTATATTCAATGGAAAATATGAACTATGCCGTTCGTTAACTCAATTCAACCAAAAGAATCAAGTTCAACCAGTAAGTAACAAATTAAGAAAGGCAGAGAAATCAATTATTTCACTAACAATTACAAAAAGAAAACCGATATCTGTCTTCATCTACTTCTAATCAAGCAAATTCATTTCACCTCGAACAATTTTTTTTCACAGAAAATGTACTTTCAGCCACACTTTGCTACCATCATCCCACTTTTCCCTTACATAATAAAAAACTCTTCAATTACAAAACATATATATTTTATTTACCATTTCGTTGGAAGGAGAAGGCTTGAACGCAGTTCTGATGAATCAAGACGCGCAAGCAATTGATGACGTTTTCTCTGCTCAGGTGCGTGTGCTTGATTATTAACCCTACAGTTAACGATCCTCTTCTAAGTAGACACTCGCATACTTTCTGCAACACAAAAAACCAATCAAATCAAACTAGAAGATGAAGAAAATAATAATATTAATAATAACAATAATAATAATAGAACTGATAGGAAGAACAGAGACTTACCGAGCACAAGTCTCCGTAAAATGTTGAGATCAAATGGGTGGCGAATTGGATGCCGTGCGGCGGCGGCGGCGGCTCCATTACTGCGTGCGATTAGGAGAGTGATGAGGGGAGGGACCGCAACGGCGGTTTAAGCAGCCTACCAAACCGGATCATGAGCCGGTGAGGACGTTGAACCGGCCATTTACAGGAAAGGGCTGAAAATGTAGAAATAGGGCTTGGGTATTTGATGGATGGGTGAGCCACGTATGGGCTGAAAACGTGCTGGGACCGGAGATCAAAATGGGCCTGACTAAATGAATCAAGCATTTTGGGCGCATTAATTTGTGGAATAAAACTGGGGCTTTATGTTCGTATACAAAAATTTTCACTCAAAATTTCATTCAACTTAAAATTTAACTCAATTTTAACTTAACTCCAATATTTTCAATATTATCAATATAATTAATAATACAATCCAATCATTCTTACACATCACATCTATTTTAATTTATTATTCATTCACTCACATAATTTTAACTGACTATCACTTCGTATCATTTTTCTCCTACTTTTACATCAAATCAACTTTAATTATTTTATTTTATATATTATGTTAATATAAATTCAAAATCCCATTAACAACTAACCATATCATATTTTTGGGAGATTCTACAGTCTCGTTATGGAAACATTCCGTCGGGATTGGTAACTGTTAGATCAACTATCCACGACAGTTACATGATGATCAAACAATTATAAATCCCGACGGAATGGTTCCGTAACGGGATTGTAGCATTTCCCCATATTTTTTTAAATTAACTCTAGTTAACCAAAAAAATACATATTGAATGAAAATTTTTGTATACAAATTTAACTTCATTAAATAACTTTTTTTTTTCCCGACTATTTTTATGCTGAATGAAATTATTTCCTCCTCATATTATAATAAGAAAAATATTTATTTACATAATTATTCCATCTATAAAATTAAATATTAGTATTTTTTATCCTAATTTTACTATAACCCTAGCTATTATTATTGCTTGTTTGGCACTTAAGCATGTAGAAACACTTGAGTCGCCTATACATAATTGTAATTGCTAGAAAAATATTAATTCTTGTTTTATTGTTATAATCAATTTAGTATAACTTTCAACCAAATCAATGGAAAACTACTATAACAAAATCCAACACATATTCCCATGCATTTTGTCATTTAGATATCAATTGGTGAAGTGAAATTTACTTGAAATTTCAATGTGGGGTGATTAGTAAGATATGCCATTAGTTGGTTCAGTTACTCAGTGAAGCTGGTGGGCTTTGCCTCACCATTTTGGTCACTCTTGTGTGGAGAGAATAATAAAATCCCAACAAAATCGGGATATCTTAATGTTCGATTTAATTCATCACCCTTAGAACAGTATATCACATCATAACTGTAATCTTTAGTCAGATTTGGGTTCAATTAGATAACTTTATCTCGAGTCTGAGATGCCTAAAAATAACTCAACACAGATATCAGATCTGAATTCGAGTAAATAATTTCATCTCGAGTATAAGATATTCCAAATTAACTCAACAAAGAAAACAATAACTAAATAGATCACAAAATGGAGTCGTCTTTTTTGTTCATACACATGTGATTGGTCCCAATTGAGAGACACATCCGTTATGACCACATAAAAATAGAATCACACATATAGAGTGACATTGAGAATAAAAGGTAAAAAATATATTCCCATGTAATTTTTTTTTTTAAAAAAAAAAAAGAAGAGAGAAAAAAAAGCAAGTGTAAAAGCATTTATTCACCAAGTGTTGGGGAGGACAAAATATGGAGCCCATATGCAACGTATGAGGGAGGCAAATCAATGTGAAATTTGTATTAGCAAACTCAAAAAGATTTTTGCATGCGTGGGGACATTGATGAAAGCCTTTTAGAGGTTGCTATATAATGATGGCACTTTTAACTAACACCAGCATCCCACGTGCGATGCAGTGCCCGCACGTGCGTGGTGGGGGAAGATATGTTTTTGAAACTTGGTGTCTCTTGTGTAAGGGTTTTACATTTTTT